CTCCTGCTGGAGGGCGCGCCGGGGCGGGGCTGAGACACGCTCTACTTCTGCTGGCTTCCGCCAGCCTTGCGCTGGCCCCCGCCGTGGGCAGGATGCCAACTTCTCGAGTTGAAGCGCCCTGCGCGGAAGCCCTGGCGACGACCACCTCTCAGAGTTCAACTCGGACGGCAACTCGGATGGTCCTGGCGGCTCGAGTGGAGGCCTGACGGAGCCGTCGGAAAAACTACGGGACCGAGCCAGAACTTTGGTGCGAGCTCTCGCTGCAAACATTTCTCTTGGGGGTCCCAAAGCAAGCGGTGCGGTGACAGACCGTTCGGTGACATCGGAGTCCCCGAAGACGTCACCGCACGGTCCGTCACCGCATCGTTGTGGGACCTCGGAGACCCCAGTCGCCCGAGACATCATCGGAGAACGACCCAAGTCCAAGAATCGTGACGTCACCCCGAAGAATCTCACGAACGTCGGGGACTTACTGACACGGGTCAATCCAGACCCAGGTCAGTCAAGCCTTGAAGGATCCTGCAAGATCCTGCAAGATCCTGCAGGATCCTGCACCCAAAGCCTGATCAGTGCGACCCTGGCCCTGCAAGATCCTGCAAGATCCGGCGCTCTGACTGACCCCCGTTTGCATTGACCCCCATCTCCTGAGCCCCAGGCGGACCGTCAAAACTCACGCCAGGACAATCGAAAAACGTGGGCATACCCAGTCCAGCAAGCTTGGGTCTTACGTTTCCCTGACGCTCACCGGGGGCGGGGTCGCGAGAGGTGTCTCGGGGGGGAGACGTGAGGCCTCGCAAGTTCGGGGCAGGGCTGCTCTGTAACTCTTTTTTGCGCGCTCCTTCCCCAGAAGCAGCACCAACCGATCAGAGAGCGCCTGGACATAACCAAGATAATGCCTGGAAATAAGCGAAGAGCCAAGCGTGAGAGGGCGAGTCTGGGCTCAAGGCCTTGGCTCATGCTAATCATTACCACGATTATACCTCCGCGCGGTGGCACCTTGAGCGGCATCTCCCCATGCCCATCCCCACTGGTGGAGGACTCCCACATGTAAAACGCGACATGCAACGCGCGGCCTTCTGCACGGGCTGTCGGCCAAGCACCGGATTGGCAGAGCTCAGGCGCTACGAAAGGCAACGGCACACGAATTGTCCATTGGACATACTGGGGACGAGGGCGACGTGTTTCTCTCCCCCGTTACACTACATCTTTCATGCAAGTGGGTGAGTAGTAGTGCGCCGCCTCCTATCAGAAGTCCACGTCCAGCGAGAAACCTTTGGCTTCCTCCCTCGAGGCGTTCGTCGAGGACATGACCCCGGCTTTCTGGTAGTCGCCGACGCGCTTTTCGAAGAAGTTGGTCTTCCACTGCAGCGAAATCAGTTCCATCCAGTCGAACGGATTAGACGCCCCGAACAGCTTGGAATGGCCCAGCGCGGTGAGCAAGCGGTCCGCGACAAACTCGATGTACCGGGTCATGAGGTCGTTGTTCATACCGATGAGATCACAAGACAGCGCGTCACAGATGAAGACACGCTCGGCCTCCACAGCGCCGCGGACGATGTTGTGGATCACGTCCTCTGGCAAAGGGTTCTGGAGCTTCCCGTAGAGCAGGCACGCGAACTCAGTGTGCAAGCCTTCGTCCCGTGAGATCAGCTCGTTTGAGAATGTCAGCCCTGGCATCAGCCCGCGCTTCTTCAACCAATAGATCGCACAGAACGAGCCACTGAAAAGTATACCCTCCACAGCCGCAAAAGCAACGAGCCGCTCGGCGAAACTGTTCTCGTGGTTCATCCACTGCACTGCCCACTCTGCCTTCTGCTGGATCGCTGGCATTGTATGGATCGCATCGAAAACCATCTCCTTTTCAGCGGGATCCCTGATGTACTGCTCGATCAGCAGAGAATATGTTTCGGAATGGATGTTCTCCATGGCCATCTGGAAGCCGTAAAAGGCACGCGCCTCTGGTGACTGGACCTCTGTGGTGAACTGGGCGGCCAAGTTCTCCAGCACGATCCCGTCAGAGGCAGCGAAGAACGCGAGCACGTGCTTGATGAAGTGCCTCTCGCTGTCTGCCAGAGTCTCCCAGTCCCGGAGGTCCTGCGAGAGGTCGATCTCTTCTGCCGTCCAGAAGGATGCCTCGTGCTTCTTATACATCTCCCAAATGTCGTGGTGCCTGATGGGAAACATGACCCAGCGCTGGGAGTTCTCCTGCAGGAGAGGCTCGGACTTCTCGAGCTCGCGGTACTCGGCGGAGACACGGCTGACCACGGCTGTTGTGGCAACTTGAGCCGACGGAGCCATCCTTCACTACACAGGCTTCCAGAGTTCTAGCTGCGAGCTCACGGGAGCCAGAAAGCAGAAATGGATTGAGCCAAAATGGCTACGGACTGCTCCGTACCTCGCTTGCTAATTAAAGGCCTGGGCCCGACGAGGACGCCCAGGGAGGCCCAGGGATAACCTCCAGAGCACCCCTCACGAGGCCTGGAGGGGCCCCAGGGGCTCCAGAAAGGAGGAGGAGGCGGAGGAGGACAAGGACCAGGACGAGGAGCAGGAGGAAGAGAGCTGAGAGGGGCACCGGGGGCCAGTGACACCGTTGGCAGCCCCGGAGGGTCTCCGCTGCGCCCGACAGCCCAACACCACACCATCACCAGCAACGACAAGAACTGGCCCAACCAACAATCATCGGGGCGGACGAAAGGGGCGATAGGGGAACGGGGGGGAGCGAATCGGCTGCATGCAGCGGGTTCCCCTGGCGCCTCCCCACGCGAGAGGGGGCCATGCAAAGGAGTGGGGGGGGATGCAAATCAATCGGCCGCATGCAGCGGGCTCCCCAGGCGCATGAGGCAAGGGGGGCGGACGAAAGGGGGGATGGCAGAGGGGGAGGGGGAGCGAATCGGCCGCGTGCAGCGGGTTCCCCTGGCGCCTCCCGACGCGGGAGGTGGCCATGCATGCAGGGCCTGGGCGGCGGGGCCGGGACCTGCTGCAGGCTGCAGTGTTTCGCACCTGACTACCTACCAGACCACCCCAACCCAACCCGAACACCCGCATTTCGGATTGGGGGGGGGATACGGGTTCCATATGTGTTTTTCCAATGTTCCCCGAGCCCCCCCCCCCCGGAAATGGAGGGCGAATTGAGGCCTTCGGGTTGGGTTGGGGTGGTTTGGTGGGTGGTGAGTACCCCCCTACCTTTCCCACCCCCACCCCTTCTGCGGCAACTCATGGGAGCCTCACAAACCACCTGGCTGGTTATTGCGAATCGGCACGGATCGACGCTGATCGACGCTGAATCGACGCTAATCGACGCTACGCGACGCTAAATCGGCGATCTCATCGATCACCTCACCGAACACCCGCTTGCGTCCGACTCGAACCTGCAACCAGACTGGCCCCACCTCGCAGCAGAAGCAATCCCCGATCGGCATATGCCAGGGGCCGTCGGAGCTGTTTCCGATTACCTCTGGGAGCCTTCTCCGTCGGGCTGCTCCCACAGTCAGGGCGTTGACCCAAGGAACCCTAAATAAGGAACGAGGCCCCTTTTGTCCATAAGTTAAGCTTCGGCTGAGGCAAGCTGTGAAACAGTCAAGGAACACCGAGCCCCTCCCCAAACGAAAAGGGTTTCATCTTCAGCGCTACGACTGTATGCGCACATGGCATGCGGCCATTTTTATGGTGGTCTACGGACCTTGAAAATTGTGGACTGTCATAAGTCACGCTGGGACCTTCAAAGACCGTGGACATACCCAGAGTCCAGCAAGCTCGGGCCTCACGTTTGCCTGACTCTCCCGGGGGGAGGGGGGGTCGCGAGAGGTGTCTCGGGGGGAGACGTGAGGCCTGGGTAGAGCTGATCCGTGGCTCGCTTTTGTGTATGTTCCTCCCCCAGAAGCAGCACCAACTGATCAGAGAGCGCCTGGACATAGCAAAGAACAAGCCCGGAAACATGCGAAGAGCCAAGCGTGAGAGGGCGAGTCTGGGGTCAAGGCCTTGGCCCATGCTAAGCATGACCACGATTGCACCTCCGCGCGGTGGCACCTTGAGCGGCATCTCCCCCATGCCCATCCCCACTGGTGGAGGACGCCCACATGTAAAACGCGACATGCAACGCACGGCCTTCTGCACGGGCTGTCGGCCACACACCGGATTGGCAGCGCTCAGGCACTACGAAAGGCAACGGCACACGAATTGTCCATTGGACACACTGGGGATGAGGGCGACGTGTTTCTCCCCCGCTCCACTACATCTTTCATGCAAGTGGGTGAGTAGTAGTGCGCCGCCTCCTATTAGAAATCCACGGCCAGCGAGAAACCTTTGGCTTCCTCCCTCGAGGCGTTCGTCGAGGACATGACCCCGGCTTTCTGGTTGTCGCCGACGCGCTTTTCGAAGAAGTTGGTCTTCCCCTGCAGCGAAATCAGTTCCATCCAGTCGAACGGATTAGACGCCCCGAACAGCTTGGAATGGCTCAGCGCGGTGAGCAAGCGGTCCGCGACAAACTCGATGTACCGGGTCATGAGGTCGTTGTTCATACCGATACCGATGAGATCACAAGACAGCGCATCACGGACGAAGACACGCTCGGCCTCCACAGCGCCGCGGACGATGTTGTGGATCACGTCCTCTGGTAAAGGGGTTCTGCAGCTTCCCGTAGAGCAGGCACGCGAACTCAGTGTGCAAGCCTTCGTCCCGTGAGATCAGCTCGTTTGAGAATGTCAGCCCTGGCATCAGCCCGCGCTTCTTCAACCAATATATCGCACAGAACGAGCCACTGAAAAGTATACCCTCCACAGCCGCAAAAGCAGCGAGCCGCTCTGCGAAACTGCTCTCGTGGTTCATCAACTGCACTGCCCACTCTGCCTTCTGCTGGATCGCATCGATGGAGTGGTCCGCGACGAACTCGAACTGGTCGGAGAGCGATTGCGCACTCGGCCGTGGAGCTGTGTCCCCTCATCTCCTCCGCGCATCGCGGCTACCTCCGGGCCCTCGCGCCGCCGCCCGGGAACGGGACGACACTCTTCTGCCCAGGCCGCGAACATCGTCATCGTCATCATCGCCATCGTCATCGTCGTCATCATCAGCGTCGTCATCGTCATCATCATCACCTCCATTACAACCAACAAAATGATCAATATATCATCATCATCATCATCATCAGCATCATCATCATCATCATCATCATCATCAGCAGCATCATCATCATCGTCATCATCATCATCATCATCATCGTCATCATCATCATCATCATCATCATCATCATCATCATCACCATCATCATCATCATCATCATCATCATCATCATCATCATCATCATCATCATCATCATCATCATCATCATCATCATCATCATCCTCATCATCATCAGCATCAGCATCAGCATCAGCATCAGCAGCAGCACCAGCATCATCAGCATCATCATCACCATCATCATCATCAGCAGCAGCATCATCAACATCATCATCAGCAGCATCAGCATCAGCATCAGCATCAGCATCAGCATCACCATCATCATCATCATCATCATCATCAGCATCATCATCACCATCATCATCATCAGCAGCAGCATCATAACCAGCCTCAGCATCATCATCATCAGCAGAATCAGCAGAATCATCATCGTCATCATCAGTATCGTCATCGGTACCATCATCATCATCATCATCATCATCATCATCATCACCATCATCATCACCATAATCATAATCATAATCATCATCAGCATCACCATCATCGTCGTCAATCAGAATCATAATCAGCATCACCATCATCGTCGTCATCGCCGTCAGCATCGAAATCATCAACGTCATCATCAGCCGCATCAGCATCAGCACAATCATCATCATCATCATCATCGTCATCATCATCAGCATCATCATAATCAGCACCATCACCATCTTCATTTTCAGCTTCATCGTCATCTTCATCTTCATTATCAACAACAGCATCATCAAACATCAGCAGCAGCATCAGCATCAGCAGAGTCATCATCATCCTGGTCATCATCACTATCATCATCGAGTTTCCTCCTGCTGCTGATCATCCTCTCCCCCATCATCGCTTCCTCCTCCTCCTCCTGCACCTCCTCTGCTTCCCTCCCTGAAGAGCAAGCGTACGGGACGAGAGATGAGGAAGAGGAGGAGGAGGAGGAGGAGGAGATATGGTGTTCCCCTGGACTTGGTGGGACTTTGGATAAGCCAGGTAATTCGGGGCTCACCTCGGTGGCATGCAATGGGGGTCGCCCCATCTCGATCGGGGTGCGTCCAGATAGCCCCCTGGGGTGTACGACAGGCTCGTGTCGTGATGACGTCGGCGTTGATTTCCAACCCCGCGTGGATCCTTCAATCCTGAAAGACAAACGCTTTCCACTAACGCAGAGGTCGAACGACATCCAGCGTTGTCGGGCCGCTTGTGGCGTTCAACCTTGAGCGTCCACGCTGGGGCAGCCGCCGCACCGACACGGCGCCACAGTAAACCCGAGCTTCTCTTTCCTGAGCGGCCACATTCTTGGAGAGCGTGGACATCTAGAGGCCTCCTTAAGAGGATCCGAGTAGGTGGTGTCCGAGGATCGGCGACGTCGGTGCGGGGGGAAAATCTAACCCCAATCGAAGCGTAAAGCCGATGTATCGGTGATGCAACGCAATCCTCCGACCACGCGTAGTTGGGAGGCCTGGATCCTGAGACACTGGGGGCGACCCGCGCTGGATCCCCAACAAGTATCAAAATGTCTCTGGAGACCTCTGGATGTACCCCGACTTCCCCAGTCTTCCTCCTCCCCCTCCTACTACTATTCCTCCCCCTCCTCCTTCTCCTCACTGTGACGACCACGACGACGAGGACGACGACGACAACAACAGAATCAACAACAACAACAACAACAACAACAACAACAACAACAACAACAACAACAACAACAACAACATCAACAACTACAACACCATCAACAACAACTACAAAAAGAGCAGCAACAGCATCATCAACAACAGCAACAACAACAACAACGACAACAACAACAACAACAACAAGAACAACAACAACAACAACAACAACAACAACAACAACAACAATCATTTTACCCGAACGCTCAGTGTTCTCACCAGTGCCAGGGTTTTCATGCGACGCGAGACAATACCCCCACTTCGTGGGGGGGCAGTTCAAGCTCTACCAAATATCCAAACGACTCTTCGCGACCACCCAAACCCAGCTTCCCGCCCTATGACGTTGGGACACTTCACTTCGTGGCGTGCGGACGACCGTGGCTACTACACTGGCGTGGGGTACACACCCACAGAACTTGGTCACTTATTCGGGGCGCGCGTGTGCCCAGCATCCTGCAATTGTGACATACAATACATGACACAGACAGACAGAGAGAGAGACAGAGAGCAGACAGAGAGAGAGACAGAGAGAGCGGAGTTGGTCACATTTTTGGGGCAAGTTCCTGAGATCGTCGTGTTTTTTGTTGGTCTTGCGCGCGCGAATGTCCACTTTACTTTTTTTTTGCAAGGGAGTATTGAA